AACAGTCCCCAGAAAGGTGCACAAGGACAAATGATTTTCCACTAGACACAATACACAAATCCTAAATATCCAAATTCTTCCTGACAACAGATTTTATATCAGTAGTTGTCATCAATTGGTATTTTCAAGGGACAAAAGTTCACAAAACAATATTTTTCAAGCATGAGGACACATGTATCAGATTTGTTACAATACGTCAGCTGACCTGCATTTTTGTGGACACGAACAGAAGAAAAACTCTAAGACATCAGTACTACTTAAAATTAAATATAAGATCTGTTTATGTATTTGCAGTGTAAAGGTACCTGGGCTAATTCACATACTGGATAGAGGCAACTGCCTATTTAGGGCATCACAGAGATCCCTGAAAAACAAGGAAATTACCCTCCAGTATCTCCACAAGGTATCTCTGCTGTGATCCGAAGTGTAAAGCATATCTTCATAATCTAGCACAGACAAAAACAATGTCTGCATCTGCCAGGAGAGGGCCCTAACCACTGATTCTAAATTGCTGTGAGGCAAAGAATTCGAGGGTTACCAGAAGAAAGAGGGGTTAAAAAAACCAAAAAATCTTAATTGGATTAAGACGATTTACCAGGGAATGGAGGGATGTTGTCAGGGTACATACCTGGGGATTGAAGCCATTCAGGTTAAGGAGGAAATTGATCTAAATCTCTTATTTCCTGGATAAATACTCATCTAGGTCAGATGAGTTTAAAGCAAAACTCACAAGCAGTTGATGAAAAAGATTCCCATTTTCTTCCCAAATCTCTGGGCTGCAAGATGTAGAGAATGCAAAGCTAGCACTGCAGGAGCCCTTTACCAAGTACGTGTGACTACTCAGGAAAAGACTGGCTACCTGTTAATGTCTCCACTGGCTCAATCAGCATGCAACTTCAAAGCTCTTAAATAGCTTGCACGCTGCTGGCAAGTTGACATTTCTGAAAAATTTCATCTTATGGTCACCAAAATAGCAGTGACATTTATTAATACTGGATGTGGCATTTGCTTGGTGCCAGGATATCAAATCAAGTCTAATATGTAACCCTACACTAATCTATACCATAAAAGACAGTCATTATGGCCTTTCTTTAAAACAGAAGGCTAAGTGATACTAGTTTCTTGAAATAATAAAATGTCTGTGGCATCAGCTCTCAGAAGAGAATTCCTGGCCATGGATGTGAAGTGGGGGAATGTCATGGTTGTCAGCCACCAGACGTGCAGATAAGGACACTGCTTAAGACACATCATTCCCTGCACTGTTTATTACCAGCTAGCTCTATCTAGCTCCCTGCTTGGATGTAGTTTGTTTGAATTGCTCTTCTAACGCAGCCAGTGCTACCACACGGGCTGTATGGTGCACTCAGCATTCTGCCTAAAAGACAGCAACATTTAACATCCAGGAGCCTGAGCCCTTGACAGAATCAATCCCTGTGTGGAATCCAGGACAGGCAGCTGGGCAGACCTGTGAGAAATTAAGACTTGATCAACATCTCTATGTTTATTTCCACAGTTGCAGAAATAAATCACATTCTTACTATATTTCATATATTTTGATCAAATTCAGTAGTCAGCCTTGTTTGATTCTTCTTTGCCACTTCTTTCTTGTGCATTATAGACCTCACCCTCTACCTAATGACAAAACTCCAGAGTCAGCTTGAGGTACTGACAGTCTGCAAGATAAAAATCAAGGAGTATGAAAAAGAGAGAGAGCCAGAGACACATGTGCACACTCAGGAATGAAAGATATATTTTGATCAAATTCAGTAGTCAGCCTTGTTTGATTCTTCTTTGCCACTTCTTTCTTGTGCATTATAGACCTCACCCTCTACCTAATGACAAAACTCCAGAGTCAGCTTGAGGTACTGACAGTCTGCAAGATAAAAATCAAGGAGTATGAAAAAGAGAGAGAGCCAGAGACACATGTGCACACTCAGGAATGAAAGCTGGAGTATGCCGTTTGTTAAAAGATAAACAGAATCTGACATTTTCTGAATTGCTCTTTGCATGGAATTTGGACTGGGATTTCCTTTTTTAAAGTAGTAATTATATAAATGCAGGAAACAATGTTTCTTCTTGTATCACCAGAATATAAAACAAATTCTATGTAACACCGTGACAGAATCGAGTCCAAAAAAGTAGTAAGTTAGTATAACTAACAGAATTATTCTATTTTAAATTGAGGTGTTTTCTCTAGTAACTATTTCTTTAAATATTTTCTAGCAGGATTCAGACATCAAGCTTAGGACATCCCCATTGGAAGGGCAGCCTGGTTTGTATTGCTATCAGCCTCAAGTGCAGCAGATGTATTGCCCCTCACATCCTTTCCATCAGGTCAGTACAACATCCCCTGTATTTCTAGCACTGTAATGGTATGGGAATTATGGTAATAATACAAAAAGACAAATGAAACAATACCTGCTAAATTTGCGTTTGTGGGGCCCTGTTTGTATACATACGTTTTGTTTATGACAATGAGATCTTAAAAGAACCACATCGAAATGCATTTTTAAATGGTCATCCAGAAAAAAAGAAAAAAAAAAAAACTTGTAAAAATAGAATCTTGGTACTGCTTATTTACATTTTCACCATTATGCTCAAGAAAATTGGCTTTGAAACCAGATAAATTATTAACATAACTTTTGGCATTTCAGGATCCCAGGGAATTAACTGTGCTTTAACTTCAGAGTAAAAAGTTAAATATATGTGACTGTATACTTAAAATTCAGATCAAACACAGAGAAATACTTTTAAAGCAAAATTTTAACAGCAAGATGATGCTCGTTTTCCTTGTGCTTGATGGCACACAGAACTCTTTTGCAATCTTTTGACTGTTACATCATCCCCAGTGAAAGATTATTCAGCTGAAGCATAATTGGCAATAATGCTGATGATGCATGAGAATGCACAATATTAAGGTTGTTTTTCCATAATGTAACTATATTACTAATACTAAAAATGCACAGGAGTAACTGATACCTTGTTTTTCTTGAGTGTGTTTAGATGTCATTCGAATACACGTCAGTTCATATTTTCAAAGCAGTATACACACAGTATCTTTGTAAAACCACACATATATACCTTAATCTTACATGTGATCCTAGTACATATTTATAAAGGTTAGCGAGTGTGGTCTACTAAACTTTGAAAACTTGGCATAGAGGGAGAGTGTGTATTACAGAAAGCAATTTTCATGACTCCGAAACGTCTTTAAATAATCTCCTTTAGACATAAATGGTGCTGCTGTTCAATGCATTGAAATGTTCCTCTTTTATGCTCAGTTATCTGCAATGTACAAAATTTTCAGCAAGAAAGACGTTCAAGAAGATAAAAATACACTTGAAACACCCTATTTAAAACAAACAAACAAACCCCAAAACTTATTTAAGGTGACATTAAGGCAACGAGGATTTTTCAGATATATTCGCAGAAATCCATATAAAAAATCCACAACTACCAAAGCTCCCAACCATTAGAATTGAATTAAACTTACAGGAAATTCACATACGTATAAAATATTTGAACGTAAAAGCTCACACTTGAGCTACGACTCCTTTGATCCCAGTGACTGATGACTGATTGTGGAATCAACCGTACCATCTCACTCAACTTGCTCAAGAAGTATAAAAAAAAGTGACTAACAGAGCAGTGACTTAAAAGTGTGCAAAGAAAACAAAAAACAGGTTACCGTATGATATTTCATTGGGATTGTTAATTCATATGGTGTTACTAGTCTGAGTCACTGAAATAGCAATCATACCATTCATCACCAGGATTTAGCCCCTCATGAGGAAAAAGAAAGGTTCTTTTTGGCATGATTTTCTTTAAGAGGAAATTTAAGGAACTTCTGAAAACAGATGCTGAATGACCTTAAAGAACAAGAATAAACATATGTTGAAATTTTATGATCAATGATAAAATTAAATCATGAGTCACAGATGACTTTTTAGGAATTTAATTTGTTAAGAGTTTTGTAAAACATTACTAAGGAAGAATGAAAGTATTCCATCCCTCAGTAATGGATTTTCGTATTTTTAAATGTGTATTTCTTATAAATGTCCCACCTGTCTACTGAAACTTAAAGGAAGATGTCTCATTATTACAGTAATAAGTAATTCCTCATAATTACTTATTATTACAGTAATAAGTAATTCCTCAGATACAGAGAGGAATAAAATAGGGACTAACTGTATCAACCACTTGGAGAGCTTCAGAGACTTCTACAGCCTTTCTGAACTTCTAGTTCTAGTTCTAGTCTGGAACAGTTAAAATGATCAACAGGATGGTGTGGTCAGGGCAGCTCAATAAGCACCCTCAAGTACCAAAACTTGCATGAAGTAAACTTCTAAAATCAAGTTCCTATTACTGTTATCTTTCCCTTACTGCTCCCTCAGCTGTGGCCGGCCCCTGTCCACTAACTGAACTTTGTATTTAAACCAGCTGAGGAATTCAGGAGCACAGAGGTTCTTCTCCAACTAGGTGTTGCACAAGGACAGAACAATTTGCTTAGGGTGTCCAGCAACTACTGAATTTCAAATAGTTTCAACATAAAGGGCTTTTTCTATCCACTGTCCTTAGCAGGTAGCCTTGTAAAGCTTGAGAAGTGTACAGATGCTAAACAGATGTGAGAAATAGATAACGGAAAGAAGCAGTTGTCCTACACTGATTCAGGAAATACGACTAGAGAATAATCCCACTCCTGGCTTTTTCTTTTACCTATCACTCTGGCATTCCACTAGACAGAATTTACCGAATCTTTTTTTTTCCCACTATAATGTGGCAAAAAGATAACTATCTTTTAAGTTCTTATCAACACCATCATAATTAATTTACTTGCTTTTTCTTGTTAGCCTAAAACTCAATAGAAGTGATAAAAGGTAATAATAAAATTAAAATAGAGTAAAAAAAAAGGTGATATTACACTACCATCCTAACTTACAAATTGATTTTATTATCATTATTTTAGAAGAAAAGGGTCCCAGATGAAGGATTAACTTGCCACAAAAGCTCTGCTGAAAATATAAACTAGTTCCCCACTGGGACTGCAGTACAGACATTGTGGATGTGCCACAGCACCATACATCTCACACAGAGTATGAATGTCAGTTTTGTGTGTTGCTTTAGCAGAAACTCCAGTTAGCTTGTTAATTCATTTGAATATTTTTTAATTTCTTTATTCATTCTGAAGTAGGGACTCTTCCCCTGTCACTGCTGATTTGATACCAATACTATTACTATACACTGGCATTAACCACATTTAAAAAACCTACAAAGTTACAGCTGAAATACACCTTCTGGGAGTTGCTAGGCAAGATACGACAAGCACTAAGAGGAAAGTCTTCCATCCACCTGCAGGCTGGCACTGTGACAGATCTCTTACATGCAGCAGGTTTCTGTTAGACTTTTCAGTATTTGTGCTTCTTTATGTTACTGTAGTAAAAGTACGGCACCATGTTCTGCTACTCAGAGGGAAAAAACAGTAAGTATAGGCAGCCAAAGTCATAACAGGTAGAATTGCTGTCCGTGTGCCATAATCAGATACTAGGAAATGAAAGAACATGTGATACCAGACTGAGAAGAGGTGGAGTAACATCTTTTGCATGAAGCAGCTCCAGTATTAATACTTTACATTTCAAATTTGAATGGAGCACAGCAATTTAAATCACTAGGAAGTTACACTCAAGAGAACGGGCCATTTAGCCTGAAGTGAAGGATGTTCAAACTATGCTTCACTTTTCATTAGAGAGAAGAGAGAGATCAACTCCTTTGTTAATTTTGTCCAAATGATAAAATGGCCTCACCTTCCCCTTTGCTGGACACAACACAAATGATGACTCATAAGAAAAACTACTTCTTACTGACCTGAAAGAAATAGCAGACACTTACTGAAGTCACTTACCCACCCACCATAAAACACAGACACCTTTCATGCCAGTTGTGCGACTGTAGAACCAGCTCAAGCCTGTCATACCAGACCATTCCCCAGCCTCTGTTGCCTCAAAAAGGAGTAATGAAACCAATAAAACAGAAATAATCCCTAAAACGCCCAGTTCTTGCTTTTGGTGGTGGATGACACCACAGCCAGTCCCATCTTAGTCTCACTTCCTTTCGAACAGCCACTGAAACCAATAAAATCAAAATTATTGTACGAATTGCCCGGTTTTCTACTCAGGTGAAAAATCTGCACACAATGCAACAAAGCAAGCAGCACAGAACTGCACATGGAAATTAATTCACAGCTGCTCTGGAGACTGCAGTTCTGCCCGGTATTTAGTTTAACAAGGCAGGACATGATTAATTATGTACATCTCATTTCTTTCACCCTGCTTACTGCAGCAAACAAATTAGTGTATTCCGTATGTTTTTCCACATTCCATTTCAGGCAGTTCAATGTTAGAAAGATAAAAGCAAACAGGCAAAAACTCAAGAAACAACAATAAAATTGCTGAGAAACTGAAATAAATTATTCAGAATACATAATAAATAAAAAAAAAAAACTATGAACATTTTGCAAGCACATGATAACCTCTCACAGGCATTTTAAGGGGACAAAGACCAAGAGCAACAGAAGTTACTGGTCCGAAAATAGGAATGACAATAAGAAACTAAGGAGATGTATAAACTAATTACCAAGGAAATTTTCCCAACAAGTCTCGAAAGCTACATTATAATCTTTCAGAGGAACCATAAAAACCTCATGACACAGGACTTCTAGAGGTAAGCAGTAAAACACTAGAACAGGGTTTAGCAACCTTTGAGTACTAGGGAAGGCATGCAGGTAGTTTTTTTAATAGCATATGACATGACTCCTAATTTTGGCCATGCCCTAGCCCTGGCATCTGGAAAGATTCATCTGTAAGAGGCAGAAATTCCTTTCACTCTGAGCTCTGAGTTCAGTGGGAGACTTTGCCTCACAGAGAGCCAACTGATGGTATCTTACCTTAGCGGGGTAGTGTTTCTTTGTTCCTGAAAGTTGCTTGCCAGCAGGTTTAAACTGTAATTTGGAAAAGAGATATGACCAACTGCTGTGTTAAAAAATTGAGAGCAAACCTACAGAAACTCTGATGCCATCGAGGCTATCTATATGTATTATCTCCCCTCTTTCACCTATTTTTTTGCATTGGCATATTTCTATCATGGTGATCACATGATGGGCCAGCCATTTCTTTAGTGTGTCTTGAGAGCTGGATAGGCTTAGAGATCTCTTGAAGAGATAGCTTTTGCATTTCAGGCTCAGGTAGCATTCTGCTGCTTGTCCCTAGGGCTGGGGAAGGGTAGCTATCTGATTTTAGGTGTCCTGGCTATTCTTTTTAGCTTTCTGATATAGAAAATGGGGGAAAAAAAGCAGCTGCTTGAGGTGGTGGTTAACAGCACTTAAACTCCTGGCCTCTTGGAGAAGCCTGTTGTCATTGACTATGAGGAACCAACAGAGAGTAGCCTCACAGCTTCAGCACAAGTCAGGCAATAAGAGAAATGTCTCATATGCCACTCTCCTGACCCCTGGAATGATATTGCTAATTTATTCTATAATAGTACATTCACTTTAATATATATTCTGATGCCATCCACAAAAGCTTTTGTTGTTGTTGTTTGCTCTTTTTACTGCCTTTCCTGATAACAGCAAATTGAATGGATGCTTTGGAATGCTATTTTCTTGGGAGTAGATGTTATACACTTCAATTTTTGCCTTGTTGTGTCCCTCTCCATCTAAACACCAAAAAAACAGCACACAAAACCAAACAAGGCTCAGTCAGAACCTCCCTGTTTCTTCCTATATTTTTAGTAGCTTTACTTAATAGGCTTATTTTCCTATGGTGCACATTGTTTGAAGTACTTTATTCTGGTTTTTTTTATTATTTATGTAAATAAAATTACACCATTAATTTACTTGTCTGCACAGTGCAATGTTCAAGGGAGGCTGAGCAGGGTAAAATACTTCAACTGCAAGAGAGATGGCTGAAGGGAGATATGCTTTAAGTCTATAAAATTATGAATTAGCTGGAGACCATTAATAGGGTACAGTTACTCCCATTTTTCACAAGAACTCAGTAGCATAGCAGGCAATAATAAAGCAAAGTACTTTTTTTACATACTTCAATTTGGAACACACTGCAACAGGATCTGGTAAAAGCCAACATACCAGTGAGTTCCTCCTCCTACATGCCCTGTTTCTTCTACTTCTTAACTAGCATTAACTAGTAATATTAATGTTTTCCAATACCATACTAGAAAGACTTTAGGTCTGACTTGGCACAACAGCTACTAAATGTAGGCAGAGGACAATATCCTCAGAACCAAATAGTTTAATACTGTTATTAAGAAAGAAGTATTTTTGAGAGCTTGTTGCTAAGCCAAGTAACATCTCTTTTATTGTGTCATCAGTACCCCTCGGGAGGCAGCTATCCTGTGACTTATATCACTTCTTCACACTACCCTTACCAAAGAATTGCTCCTCAAAGCAGTCAAGAATCCCAGCAGCCTCTATTTCCCAAACCCATCTACTCCTACAGGTAATAAACTATTTTTTCAAGTCCTAATGTTACAGGAAATACACTGTTTACCCATGGCCTATTTCCAGCATAATTTGCAATAACTTGCTTACTCTTATTTGTCTTGTTCCCAGTGTGCTCTGTCCTGTTTGTATGAATCACAAGATGTTTCAGGCTCTGGGGCCAAGGCAGAGGGGGAAATGAAATGTTGTAAAGCATGTGAACAGTCTTCATCACCCCCACAAAAGCTAGATGTTTCTCTAATACAAAATCTTAAGTGTTGCAAATTTCATCAGCACAAGACTAATGACACTTAGTTGTCTCTTCCAGGACCTGTACTAAAACTAATTTTTTTCTCCAGTTACTAGGGCAAGGAAATGCCTAGAAAACATATCAGATATGCCAGTCACCACACAGGTTTAGCCCCCAAATAGCAGTCTAACAAATCAGATGAGACAATTAAATTTTAATTATACCTTCTCTCACTGTCAGTTTGATATTCTCTTTGTGGCCTTTATCAGTTTAAGCATTCAAACACAACCTTAAATAAATACATACTAGCAGGATTTGAAGGTTGTGGTCTTGATTCCACTTTCTATTACTTTATTTTAAGCCCAGGTTGGACCTTCTATATGCACTTTGAGAATAACCTCTAGAAGTTAGGCAGTGTAAGGAGATTGCTTATAAACAACGAGTGGAAACTTTAAGCATCATCAGTATTCATGCTATGACAGTGAAAGCCAGAGTAATTACAGACACTGTGAAAAACAGTCTTTTTTTCTGTTTCTGAGGAGTCAAGCAGAACAGGCTAAAATACTTTTCTTTCTCTCCCTAAAGCATCCTGATCTTCATGGCACTCAAAAACAGCAAGACAGGGAGTTTGCCAGTCAGTGAGATTTACAATTTCATGACGGAACACTTTCCTTACTTTAAGGTGAGTTCCAGAGGGAGGGGGGGAAATCTCTCTCTAAGCTTACCTGGTAGCAGAGGGAATAAGGAAGGGGATTCAATCTATGAAAACGGATAATTTCTTAGTAGATTAATATCAAATCAATTACATGCTATATACCTTCATGATCACAAACTACCCAGCATTTTAGGCTTAGGCAGAAATGTGAACATGATATGTGGTAATATTTAACACAAAAAGATACTAAGAACTGTTCCAACTTTGAGTTTGTGCAGGTAACAGTGGCCTTTCCTCACTAACAACTCATAAAAAGGATAAATACCTTTAAAAACACATCCATTCCTTCCTCTCAGATCTCAAATACAGGCAGAACTGGTCTTGTGACTTCCTCTGCCATCAATAGCACCTCCAGACTCATGTGGAAGCAGAGGTTCAAGGTTATCTTGCTCTGTCCTGGAGCTGGGATATCCATCTTAGGCAACTTCATCACTTGCATGCACTGTACAAAGAAAAGTATAACATGTGATAAATGGTACTAAGCTCATAATTACACAGTAATGTTGGTGAAGGTAAGGGTGTATGGTTTGCAGCAGATACTATTGAAATTTAAATCCATGCTATAAGAGAATGGTTTCTTGCACTGGGAATGCAAGTGGAAAGAGATTAGTCAGCACATGATCCAAGAGCAGAAGGATTACAGTTAAGATTTTAAAAAGAGCTACAATAGAATCGTCAACTGCTGCTCCACACAGAGCTTTATTATTGCTGATTCTTCAAAAACATCTCACTAAAAGCCCAGATCAGGTGACCTGCAACTGTTAGCAAGGCCCAAAAATGAAAATAAAGCAACATGAGTCTGTCCTGTTTCCTATTGCAATAAACATGCAGCAATTAAACCAAATTTAAAGCAGCTACAGAAAGGCAATTCAAACATTTGTATTAAGAAAAGAACACTAAGAATAATTAGAAATAAATGTTCTGACATACTTTTGCAATGGTTTTGGACACTAACTGAGGATAAATAATGCCTGCAAAAAAAAAAAAAAAAAATTGAACATGAAACAGAGAAAAAGAATACACATTATCGTGAAGGAAGAACTGTTAAGATCCATGACACTTCTGTATTCCCAGATTTCCTCCCAAAGGAATCACTAGCTACTCCATTATTTGTTACAATCAAGAGAAGGGAGAAAAAAACCCAGAAACTTACCATCATAATTCAAGAAGTATCCCATCATAATATGACTGGTCATAATCCACTGAAATAAATCTGAAGCACTCTAACTTTGTTGAGCCACAGGGACACAACTGATTTTTAGGCTAAATACACATTAAATTAAGTAATGACAGCAATCTAAACAGGGAAAGGAAGAAGGGTAGAACGGTACATGACAAGAACATAGTAGCTGTAAATTTTTTTTCATTTTCAAAACAAGAATAAATTCCAGGATTTGTATTTTGTCCCTACCAGAATATTAACTCCATTTTCCATGCATTTACCACTAGTTGCAAGAAATGTTAATAATCCAAAGGAAAATAGTTTGAGGATTGTGAAAAAGGTCCTGGGCCACAACATCTTGAAATTAATATTTTACAGAACTATGCTTCTTAGCATAATCACAAATCATGTGATCTACAGCAAAGTAATACATACTTATCTGATTACTGTTTTCTAGAAAAACAGTTTTTAGCGGAGACGTGGGAATATTAAAAATAAGTTTTACAGGCATGTCCACATTTATTTATCAGACAAAACTGAAATTAATTCTCCTTTGTCTTACAACACAATTGATTATAAAATTAATTATAAATTTAATCAGGAGCTTGCAAACCAAATGCTGCTGCTGCCAACATGCACAGAATTCCTCAGACACAAGACTGTGGCTCTGCCAGGTGTCACCTTCCTGGTCCTGAAGTTTAAGTTCTTCTGACACAGCAGAAACATTAGGGAGATATACACCCTTTCCTCAACTATATTGTGTGTAAATATTGTTTATTCCATATATTGTGATATTTTGTGTGTAAATGTATATAGATATGTGTGTTCATATGTCTGTCTATGTGTATACATACAGATGTGTGTACACATATGCTCTTCTGTAAAGTAGGTATATTTCTACCACAGCTTTAAATAACTTTTATACCTAATCTAAACTTTTCCCTGCTTACTTATCAAAACTTGCCTGTTCCACAGGGAGTGGGTTTTGGTGGTGGTGGGTTTTTTTGTTTTGTTTTTTTCTAGATCCTCATGTCTTTTTCTTAATTCATTTAAAAATTGATGAGAATGAGGTTACTGCTGTTATATGCATTATAGGAAAAGAATGGTGCAGGGGGTACTACTGGAACATTAACTATTTTGTGACAGCTTTATTTTTGCATTTTAATTACAAATACATTCAAATGATTGAATAGTTCCATCCCAAATATCCTTAAAATAAATAGGGGAGAATAAGCAAGCAAATACTATTACTAAGCCCTGTTTAGCTCTGATCTTTACAGCAGCCCACAGAATTATTAATATATGGCAAAAGCTAATATCCTCTATCCTCCTTTTTTTGGAGAGTCTTCAGCAAGATAAAGTAATATAAAAATCAGCAAAGAACATTTTGTTGTTGCTACCAGAACTCACTAAATAGCAGGATACAACAGGGGGAGGGGAAGCAATTTAAGTTGGAGAGAAACGGAGTGCAAGTGTACACAGAATCTTGCTGGGAGACATTGGATGATACAAGCCTAGTCAAATTAACTTGTATTCGCTGCCACAGCAAATTTAGTTTCTATGATGCAACGATCTCATTTCTAGTTGAAACAGAGCAATCCAACTCCTACGTCCTAAAAAAAACATCTACGCAGCTAAAGTTGAATTACTCTTTGATGTACCTCTCCCTTCTCTTGAGACCTAGATTTAAAGAGAAAGGGTTTTGCAAGATCACTGAACTCTTTAAACTTCAAGAGGCGGTCAGGATCAATGGGTCTGTACAATAATATTTTTTGCTTGTCATCCTTTTTTTCCTTTGTAGTGATTAGTGAGTCTAACAGAAAGCTTTAATCTTGTTAATTGGAGTTATTGCCAGTGGTCCAAGAGGTTAGAAAGGTCTGTAGTCTGATGGAACTTACAGCAGTAAGTATTCTCTTGCAGTGCCCAACTCCACACAGCTTCATCCACACTACGCTGAATGCAGCAATGCCTCTACACGACAGCAACGTCAGTAGCCAAAGCTCAGTTCACTAACAATCAAATGTTAACTTAAAAAATTGGTGACAGAGTTGTAACATGAACACGCTGCGGAGTGTTCCTTCAGGGCCCACCTAGGTAAACGACTATTTTTCGCTGCTCAGCAATACCAAGTTTAACACAAGAATCTGTTCAACTCTTGGCAGCAGTCTCCAGAACACGACAGCAACGTCAGTAGCCAAAGCTCAGTTCACTAACAATCAAATGTTAACTTAAAAAATTGGTGACAGAGTTGTAACATGAACACGCTGCGGAGTGTTCCTTCAGGGCCCACCTAGGTAAACGACTATTTTTCGCTGCTCAGCAATACCAAGTTTAACACAAGAATCTGTTCAACTCTTGGCAGCAGTCTCCAGAATAAATCCGTGTACCTTTTGCTCTTACCTTTCTAAAACTATCTCATAGTTTCCACCCCCACACATTCTGAAAACCTCTGAGAAACACATGCCACTCCCATCTTCTCTGGTGCTTAGCAGAAACACTAATTATCCTGTCTAGATACAGACAGAGGTATATGTAGCCTCATGTGCAGGGCAAAAAACATGAATATTCTTTCAGGTCAGCTTATTCAGTAGCTAAGTACACATCTTACCTAGGAGGAACAGTTTTGTTTACTTTTGCAACTGCCAGAAAGCAACCTGAATATGATCTGCAAAGGAGAAAAACTGATTCATCATCTTTAGTATTAGCCTATGGCAGAAAGAGTTTTAAAGGAGTTTTTTGTTGGGTTTTTTTTTTTTTTGGTTTTTTTTTTTTTTGAAGTAGAAATGCATGTTGTCTCACCTATGGGACTGGCTAACAGAATAGTGAAATGCTGACATCACGTGGGCCAAAAGGGTAGAAACTGTGCTACTATAAAGGGAAAACAGTTTCTTTTTAGTAAATAACATGTATTTAACTTCCACAACTAATTAATTTTTTTAATGAAGAAAGCAAGTACTAAATTTGACCCTCAAATTCTTCAGTAAGGCTTTTAACGCCTTAACCCACAAGATAGTCCTTCACAACAAGCTAGGAAGGAACAGATTTTACATTCCTGATAAAAGTAGAATTTCTGTTAAAGTATGTTCAAAAATTCATGGTGTATCATGCGAAAGCAAAAATGGACACAAGTCCATTCATAAAAGATGGTCTTAGAGGAAATGTTACACTAGGCAACCATCAGAGAAACTATCAAAAAGCTGGCTTTCTATGAGAGAAGGATCCCTATTAATAAAGCATAAGAATGGAAAGGAAACTTAATGCGCATAAAAGAGAAATTTTAATTTTTAATCTCTTTAAAAAGACTATGGAAAATCATGTTCAATAATTCTCTCTGGTTTTATGACAGCAAATATTTTGCATCCATGAATATGAATCAGTAGTGGCACATAGACAACTTCACCCACCTTTCAGAGAGTTGTTTAATTTCTTTTAATTCTTATGACACACAGATGAGGATTTTTTGGAAACAAGAAAAGAAAAAGCATCCAAAATTGATTTAAAAAAAAAAACAGAAAAAGAAAAAAGGCCTCACATACACTAGTACTGAAGATCATTCTTTGTAATCCGATGAGCTCTAAAGTCTCTCTCTTGAGATTTCTCATCTCTGCAAATACAGACCTTTTGGAAAGAGTATCATTTGACTGACACAGGTAAAGCTACAATTTTTTTTTTTTAACTAGTCTTACAATGACAGGGGAAGTCTAGCTGGACCAGCAGTTGCATCTATTACAATGAAGTTGGGTTTCTCAGGTTGATTCCCACCATTATGTAGCAAGTAATTTTTCCTGCTCCCCCCGGCACCCCCTCTTTTTTTTTTTTTTTTTTTTTTTTTTTAAGATTATAGTGAAGTGGCAATGAGCTAAGACAGTTCTACTCAGATATGCAACAAATAGCATCATACAGTACCCACCAAACGAAAAGCAAGGAAGTGACACATCAGGAGTTTACTATAGGAATCTTCTGATATGAACGTGCACACTAATTTACAAAGCCTTAACGTGATGGGCAGTATCTTCTGGCTGCATGAGTAAGTAAGCAGAAATGAGTGAAGTCAAATAAACAAACACCAGAAAAACTTATATGCAATAAAAGGATACAGTGCCATTTCTTCAAGATCAGTATTTCAGACTAGCAAGCAAACAGGCATTTTCCATCAGAATCTGAGCATGACCGTTTTGCTGGGTATTTCCCTCTTCATCCCTTACAGCAATATTCATTTTCAAAGTTCTTTTACAAGCAATTGGAAAAAAAAAAAAATATTGCAAAAATTAAATTGTATAAACAGAGGGTTTGTACTAGGTTTTATTTTCTTTCTATTCTTGCAGTTGAATGCAAAACTGTCCTTAGGGAAAGGAGGAAAATTTGTTTCCCTCATTGATCAGAAATGGCCTAAATAAAAATAGAGGAATCATTTTAATGAAGCTTATATGTACTGTTCAGTTTAAAGAACCTTTCAGCTTCCACTACTGAGTTAAAAATAAACACAAAGCAAAAAGATGCAGTGATCAGATGTAGAAACCTGTATCTCATCTGTAGGGCTTGTGATTAAACCATTTGGTTATATAATTGGCTAGCATACAAAGTTACACCTACAGTAGCATGCTAAAATTCTTTTGAAGTCTGCCTGGACACTTAATTTGAGTCCAAGTAGCACGTAGTCCTTCAATTAAGTGTTTGAAATTTTTCTAGGTGTTCCAAAATAGATCAAGATAGATTTCCTGCTAGTTCACAGTTCTAGAATATAATTCTTTACACGCTTAATTCCTGTGATTTGCAAATTCATGCTTAAAAATTCAGCAGCCCCTCTGACAAGGCCAACCTTCTTGCTTAGAAGATCGGTTACTATTTCTCTTACCGCACAACATGACTGCAACATTTTTGTGCCTTCTTTCTAAGGTACAAGTTTCATATTGTAGAAAGTATAATCTAAAGAGCATTTCTTATAATCTCACCAGTCAAAATAGAGAACTATATTTGTATTTTTTTTTCCTTGAAGTTCCATTCTTAGACTGGATTTGTTTTTCCAGACAGCTCCAGATGGCTGGAAGAATTCTGTACGCCACAACTTATCTTTGAACAAATGCTTTGAGAAAGTTGAAAACAAGTCAGGCAATTCTTCTCGGAAAGGCTGTTTGTGGGCTCTGAATCCAGCCAAAATTGACAAGATGCAGGAGGAGCTTCAGAAATGGAAGAGGAAAGACCCAGTTGCTGTAAGGAAGAGTATGGCAAAGCCAGGTCAGTAATATGTTAGTGTATTAGTTCTCAAACAGTGCTCCCCAGAACTTTTCTTTGCAATAGGCACAAAGCTGTATAAGAGAATTTATACATGATTTAGGAAAGTATTTAAGCATTTTTCCTGGTTATAAAGTGATTGGCAAAACAAGAAAAAAAATTAAAAAGCAGAATTAAGTAAGACCTGGTTTTGCAGGAGTGCTTCCAAACAGGCACAAAGAAGCTTCACCAAGAAAGCATTCTCTCTTGACATCTCACTAAACTTCAAGACAAAAACAACACTGAAATAAGTACTATAGAATAAAATTTGAAATTAACTGATAAGTATCCAACCTTTAAACACAAAAATGCAATTTATTACATACTCACTTGGTAACGATAATTTAGAAAAACATTTCAGGCTTTTGGAGTTCTTATCATATATGGGCTAGCACTTTTGTTTGCCGTTCCACTCACTCATTTTCTGAGGAACACTAAAATTCTAACTGCAAGCTACGAAGATTAAGGCTTCTGTTAGGAATAAGTAAGTCACGGACTTTTTTCTTGTTTTGTAGAAGAACTTGACACACTGATAGGCGACAAAAGTGAAAAGCTGAGATCTTCAATCATGTCCTGCAGTCCGACTGGTGTTGCAAGTGCATCCCTTTCCAGACAGATGGCAGTCCAATCCCACTCCTTATGCGAGCCCTCTCTCTCCTCCGGTATACCACAGCCATTACATAGTATCCACGCATCAGGAGCTCTACACGTCAAGAACCCATTACCAAATTTGCTCGGGGGGCAGCAAACTGCGTGCTATACATCACCACAGGGTTTTCCTCAAATCTCAAGTACATTAATGCAACAGTCACCTGACCCTCAGACCCTCTTTCCTTCTGGGGAGGCTCAAAGTGAACTCAGAACTCAGCCCAGCATCACCCAGGATTCTCCACTGCCGGCTCAGACCCCCCCCATCTGTGGTGTGAAGATGCTGACAGAGCACTCTACAGCCAGGACAATGCAGGACACTCTCATGCAGGAGGGAGATCTCAGCAATGACATCGATGCTCTTAATCCATCCCTGACTGATTTTGATCTCCAAGGTAGGTATCTAAGGCATTTTTATTTTGTGGAGTCAGGCTTATCATATCACATGCCAACCTGCATAAAATGCATTTATGTCCTCCTTTTTTAACTACTTGTCCGTGCCACTGCTACAAAGACCAGCTTACTAGCTTGCATTATTTTGCACAACATGGAATTTTACATTGTATCTTGAAAAAGTGTCCCAAGAAAGCTACAGATTTACATCCAGAGTTTTAAAAAAACCTGCTCACTCTTGACTACGATTGCTGATATTAAATACTGCAATACGGTATTTATAACATATTTTTTAAATTCAGACATATTTTCCACTGAAAACTACTCAAGCTCAATTATTTGGTGCATATCAAGAGAATTGTCATGTGAGGAGCACAAAGAGAAATAACTTTGATTGAATTAACACGTTAACATTTTTCTTTACCAATATTTATTCCAACACCTTCCACATCTTTGCTCAAAAGAATGCTATTTACTCCTTCACAAGTTTCACAGGCATTCATATGATCTGTGCCCTAAGCAATTTTATTTTCTGAGGTGTGTTCTTAAATACTTAGTCATGTAATACAGTCAGTAAAGGACTTAATATTAAATAATTGAATCATCTTGAATGGACAGGATTTTGAACTCTAAAAACATAGCTTTCCATGCAAAAATAAGAAAAAAATCCCCACCAAGTTTATGTGTGTGCATATATATTATTTATGTATGTATACATATAAAATAAAACCTGTGGGTTCCAAATGATAAAGCTCTTGCTACACAAAATAGCATGCAAGAATTGCCTTCCTGCACAGACAAAAAGTAGTACACAAAGCAACGTAAAAAACAGAGCAAAAAAACGCAGTCTTAATAATCTACATGACTCAGCAAATGCAATTGCCTTGCCATTGTACTGTCACAAATATTCCGCAATCCTGCCATGCCCAGATTCCTTTACTAAGATTAACACCACAGTGTTTTGAACCCTCAGCTTCTTCCTCTTTTAGGCAGCTGAATCTCACATTCCATTCATTTCTCTGAACCTCCTTCCATTTTATTCAGTAAATCTGGAGCATACTCATTTGTACTGGGAATATTATGCTTTACCAACACGGTACAACTACATCTTCCCCCTGTCCTTGCCCTTTGCCTTAAATTTTCTAACCTTATCTAAACTTTTTTCTTTCTTTCTTTCTTTATAAAATTATCAAATCTCAAATTAGAGGTCCTAGAACTTAAGACAAGGCCTGCACACTTGGAACAAAATCATTACACACACAAAAAAAAAAAAAGACAAAAATCAAACTACTTCTAGCAAAAGGGCTAAGTATCATCCCATTTGATAGTCTGCAGATGGTGGGTATAGCTCTGGAGCAACAATCTCCCTGCCACAGCCCCCCGGAAATCTTCAATAATGAATATGAAAAATACAGTCCTCCTGTAGTAACTTAGTTAATGCTTTCACGTTCAACAGAAAGATGAGAAACCTTTTGGTACATGCTAGAAAAAAGTAACATTTCAGCTCTTTTGATTTGTCAGGTCAATCACATATCCAGTAATTTAGTTTGCAATTCAGAGAACACTACACCATAAGAATACTTGAAGGCCAGTTGTAAAGTAATATTATTTGCAGATTTGTCCCATAAAGTGCCACTAGCTATTCCATATCTTATAAAGATAACAGAGGCAATTTCCTCTTTCAAAATTAGTGGGTTTTTTCAAATAGAAGTTATGCTTCATAAGGATACATTTGCAACAGAATCTTGCCAATTATCAAGTGAAATAATTTTCTTAAACTCATGCTGCTTTCTCCCAGATTTAAATTTATTACGAGACAGACAAATAATAACTATCGAAACATCTTTTTCCTTTCTCAATCACAAGTGATTAAGAACACCTACACACACAGCATACACAACTGTATAATTACCGACTTCTCCTGTAAAACAATCTTTCAAAAAGCATATATAAAGAAAATTGAATCAATCCCTTTTGTTTTGTTATAGGAAATCTTTGGGAGGAGCTGAAAGATGATAGCCTAGCTGTGGATCCTCTAGTTCTCATTTCATCATCCCCAACGTCTTCCCAGTGTTTCCCTTCTCACTGCCAGATGGAGAACAGCAGCAGCAACAACGTCAACATCCAAAACGGAACTCCACACAGCAACCTACCCGACCTACAGCTCACTACTCTTTACTCTGCCTTTATGGAATTGGATACAGTGTCTCCTGCCTACCTAAGTAATTCTGGATCCAAACCTATAGCACTAATGTGAACCACGCACCAACCTAATTATTATTATTATTATTATTTTGTCTAAATACAGTCCTAACCATCACACACACTTACCTATCTGATTTATGTCAGCTGAAACTGTGTCCATCGGAATAAGAATGATCTTTTTCCAGAACTCGCCCGCAGGACATGTAGCTTTACTATGATCATTTTCTACAGACAGATACTAAAAAAAATTTTTAAAACTATTTAAAAATTATATTGTTAACGGCTGAACTGGTCAACACCATTTTATCAAGCCACCCATCTTCTGCATCTTCCATAAACAAATGGCTATAAGAGGAAAACAAATTATTAGAAATCTAAGTTTTACTGTGTTTAAAAAGAAATTTAAAACGCTGCTTTTTTAATAAAAAAGAAGAAAACAATTTAGCAGAATTTTTACTTGGCTGGAAATTATTCACATTCATTCCTCTATTTTTATCCACATAAGCTGAGCAGTAAGATGAATTATTCAACCATTAAATCAAGATTTTGAAAAATGCTAATAAACAAAGAGAACAATAATTGTTGCAGTTAGCCAAATCCAGAGAGCATCTCTAACATCCAGCTGACATCTGATACATGCAACAGGGTTTATTATGATGCTGAACTAGCCCTTGCATTAGGATAGCGTATGGTTCCTAACATGAACTAAAATAAGGCATTTCAGTAGCCAGTTTCTCAGGAACACACTTTTCTCTCTGATTTACCATAAAGGTGCTGCTTGTGACACGACAGAACAGTGGTTCATTTCAAGTGAAGCAATCTAAAAACAAAGCAATCTGGAGCAGGAACCTTTAACAACACTAAGGAAAATAGTCTACAAACCAAAAAAATTATCAAAGTGTCTTGAATGACATTTCTATTCACATATTATGGAAACTCAGAAGAAACTAAGGAGGTTAAAATTTGAGTCAGATTGGGTCACTTGCTTACACTATGAAAAAGCAGCAAGGAATTACAAAGAAAAGCACAGACCATGTAGAACAGTGAGGTAATATTGTTAAAATAAACGCATGCAGGTTTAATTAACCGCTTTCTCACAGCAGGGTGGGAGTACTGCCAGTTAAGACTGAAGCCAAACCCAGGTTCAAATCTACACCCTCAACCATGCCTACTAGCCCAGACTTAAAATAAAATCAGATTAGAGGCAGACAGATAGAGAAGACTTAGGAAGAACATACGTGATGCAACTTTGTAATCCCTTATGCAGCTACCAAGAAATCCTCACTTGACTTGAGCCTCTCTTCCTCTGCATTTCTGCAAACAGAATATGCAGAGTGAGAAATGCAGTCAAGTTTGCCTAGCTGTTCTATGCAAAAAAACAGCAGGAAGAGAGTGATGCAGACATACTAGAGCTAGGTGAATCAATTCTTGACCATCCTAACATTAAGATAAAGAAATAACGAAAAAATTAAGTATGCCACATCTCTAGCAATGTGCATATTAAATGATAAGCCTAAAGCATATAGTAAGTATAAAGCTGCTAAACATTTTATTCAATATAATTTGTTACCAAGTTACAAATAAATATCTACCGAGTACAAACTTTAAGAGCAATAATACTATCCTAGATACCTTTTTTGAAAAAAGAATCAAACAAATATATATCCTAATATAACCATGCATCGAGGAAAAGCAAAACCAAACCCGCCCCTGCCCTGCACTCACTCAGCATATTTTTGTACCCCTGCTGGCTCTGCAACAGCTACTATTATTCCTTAAAATATTTCAACATTACTCTTAAGCCAAAAATAATAATAATATTTGGTAAATAATGTTATCTAGAAATATTAGACTGTTTACAACATATCTGGCTTGTGCTGAGAGATTGGTTTCCACAGCTCTGTGCGTTTGTATGCTCTCTCTCTGACTTCAACAGAAGACAACACTCCCATGCCAGCACCCTCCACCACTGGGGTAGGACCATCTGTCCAGACCCTTTCAAACTCCTCAAATACATTTACTTAACTTCAGCAAACAGCCACTCTGATGTCAGCAGAACTTTTGCATACAGCTACCTATATCCTTAAGGATTCTCTCCGTTTACAAGTCCTTCACTGCAAACACCAACGAGTTGGTATGCAGATCAAAATTTTCAGAGGCCTAAGGGAGTGAGATACTCAGTTCTCAACTACTTTCAATCACCATTTGCATCAAATTCTTGTTAGCCCTTTTTAAAATCCTTATAATGGTACACATTGAGTAGCATACAGTGAACCACATTATGGCCAGTATACAGAATGATACAGACCTTTGCAAGGTACTACCCTACAGAATTAACAATCTTCCCAATATTTTATATTTGGCAGAGGAGAGGATGACAAGAAAATGCATGAGAACATACCAGATGAAGGGCATCAGGAAGGTCCATCACTCTCAAAACATAGAAAATTGTAATAAAATATTTGTGATTAAAGCAAATCCACGGCACATGAAAAATCCATTAAAATCAACAGCATGATTCTGGACAACACTTTAGCAAGATGAGCTAAATATCTGCCACAGAAACTCCAAATTCACAGATTTTAAATCAAGAAAAGCTAAGCTTCTTTTTCTGTGCTAAAGACTTATAATTTATGGGCATAGCAATTCATTCATGATTTGTAAATTCATATGTGTCATTCATATACTCTATGATCTGTGTTTAACAGGCTAGGGCATTCTCTCAGATGCACCAATATATTCCATGCTTGTGACCATATACATGATCACAAGGTGGAGGGGGAGGAAGAAATAGAGAGAGAAATCTAAGTGTCATACTGTATTCTATATTTTTCTTGTAATAACTCTTCGAAGAACGATCAGACGTAAAGAACAAAAGGGAAAAGAACACTCTAACATGTTTTTCTTGTGTTTTGCTTGACTTTCTTGACACACTGTATCTACACGAGAGAGGCTTGTCCTCCCTACATAAAGTTATTTATTCTAAGCACCTTAAAGTATTTTCTCCAATGCATTCCATATTTAACATGGTTGGACATTTCACAGAAGTTAAAAGTCATTACATGATTTTTCTTATATTAAAAAAGAGTCAATGTTTTTTAAAAAAAAAAAAAAAAAAAAAAGACTGCAAATTATTAACTAATATAAATTGTCTGGGTCTCCCCTCCACCTTAAGGCTTACATCTAGAATTGTATTGTCTTGCTTCAGTTCAGCATTAGTGATTCCGCTACACACAAAAAAATCCCACTGAAATATGGGTGCATGAAGAAAGAATCATACTATAGATTACAATTCTGGAACAATTATTTTTAAAAAAGTAAAAAAACATATTTATTTAACTACTTTTATTTAAATTTATAGGGAAGAATAATCCATATCTTGTGCAAGTACTTCTAAAATAATTTTTGACACAGTTTATAGCACAGTAAACATTTTCTTAGAACTTGTAGAGCTGGTGACATCTTACTTTGTACCTACCATAAAATAAGGATTTGGCACACATTGCAGATCTATTTAAGATACATTTGCATTAAAGACCATTTTAAGCAGCACTCTGAAGACAGGGGGAGAAAGGAGGAAAAGAATGAAGTTTTCCCAGTCCAAGGCTAACGATGTTTGCTTAATCAGCCTAAACCAAACACATTATGCAAACAGCTATTTCTGTCGAGGAAAAAAAAAAATCTTAAGTAATTACCATAAAAATATCTTATTATCAAACAGACGAAAGTGTTCACTGTTGCCCTCTCCAACATATGATTAGGAAGAATTTGCATTCTAAAGTTTAGGATTCATTAGTTTAACCTTTTTTTATTGTATGTTTCTTTTAAACTTCAGAAAATTCAAATAATATCAATTTATATTGGAACTATGTTTTCAAGCTGTTTTTTCTTGACATGAGCCTAAATTTACTGTTACAAGACTTCTGGCTAAAGTAGGCTGCCTCCCATACGTTTTCCTGTTCTTGGGATAAAACCATCACCCCTGAAGATTCATTTGCTTTTGTTGATACAGTTCTTTTCAGATACGTTCATATCTTTGCACAATCTTTCAAAACCCTGGCACAGCACTGAGCTACTTAAAAACAATGATTAATAAGTATTAAGGAACAGATAAAGTATTAAATAGCACATCGGTGTTACTTTATGTCTCTAGCTTTGTACACAAAGCTTGAAAAGAAAAGTGCAACTGACTTACTGGCACTTTCAAAGAAGTTTAAACTACTGGCTGAAACAAATATTTGGATTCCAGAACTTAGCTTATCAGTGCTGATGCTCCATTTTTATACTAAAGACTTCCAGATCTGTGTGTAAATGTTTGCATTTAGACTACTAAATACCAAAAACGGTAAACACTTTTACACAAGCTTCTTCTGACATCTTAATCCACTTCTAGTCTAATGCAAACAAAACCAAAATATTCACTAGCTGAAGAAGAACTATATGGTTTGCCATGCATCCCCTCACTGAAAGAATGTAACTGGAAGCTTCAAGCTGATGTTTCCCATGAGTGGCCATAGCAAAAACTTTCTTGAGAACTACTGCTTTGTTCTTCACTAAAATAATGAATAACGGAGTTAGTTCATAAAATAAAATTTAAATCCAGTCCTTTTGAGAAGCAGAAAAGGGCAATTTTTTTTTTGTTCATACAAAGAAACAAACACACACAAACAATACCTGTTTACATTGAAAATAAACAGCAGTAGGAACATCGTTAATGCATATTGGATTTATTTTCCCTGGCTGCTTCTCAGTCAGCTAGCGCATTGATGAAAAATCTCAGATACTCTCTATTGAATGTAACAAATATTGAATGGATGATGAACTGCCAGATCTCAGCAAATAGCCATCGATGTGAAACCATCATCAAACAGAAGCCCTCCCTGGTGGTAATCTGGCAGTCAGTGCTATTCAGCATTGTGCAATCACAATTTTTTGTCTTTTGTTATCTCTGTGTCAAAACTGGATACCTTTCTAGTACCCTTTAGTTCCGGATTTCTAAGCAAGTTTGGGCTCAATACAGCGAGGGCCACAGAGATAAGCAGGAAGCCAGAC